CTCAGGACAAGTGGCCGTTCAAGTATGGTTCGTGGGCAAGAAGATGGAGAGTTGAGAGAAGGAGAACGTCAAAGGAAGAGGACGGGAACGAGGGGCAAATCGCGGGGTCTTGGGTAGTTATACCCCCCCTGGCAGAAAGCCCGGCCATCCTTGACTAAAAGGACTCAAGCGCGATACGGAAGCAGAAAACCAGGAAACCAGGTGGTCGTGGGAAAGCGGCGGCGGCGACGGCAACGTGGACAGGGTCCAAACATGGCCGGAGGCGGACGATACGAGTAGGAAGTACATAGGTAGTAGGCCTGCCGGGCTGGTACAAGCACGAAAGACAAAGCAGACGAGACGGGCATGACGGGTTCTGGCCAGTTTGTGGATTTAAAAAATCTAAGCCATGCAAAGTGTGTGAAAAACGGCTGGACCTTGACCTGGAACCAAACTCTTGGTGTCGGAGTCAGAAGGCGCGCCACTATGCCTTTAAGTGCAGGTATGTTCCCCTAAGCGCAGGTATAAGCGGCTCAAGTGGGTGAGTGGGCAGGATGACGCCCGAGGGGGCCATGTAAGGGAAACCATCCCGGTGCCAATTCAGTCACATGGCCCCGGGGGAGAGAGAGGGGAGGGGTGGCGCGGACGTAGGAAAAAGCAGTGCGCTCGGTCACCGGTGACTTCTTTGATGCTTTTCTCTGGGGTAAGAATCTCGTAATGAAATATGGAACAGGATGCTGTTGCTTGGTGTTGCCGCGGGTTGTAGTCTGGGGGAAGGGGGGCAGATGACTGCATGGTGTTGTTGATGATGGAAAGTCGACTTTCAAGAGAGGAAACCACCAATCCCGTCAGAGGGAGCAACCAAGCCGAGCCGAGAGCCTCTTGCCAATGCGGCGGGGGGGAGACAACAACTGCGAGAAGCTGGAACGAGGAATGAGGAATGCAGCGAGGCCGATAACGGGCATCTGTGCTTGCGGCGTTGGAGAGGCACAGCAAGCCCTATCTAGGCTATCATATTTCTTTTGCGTTGCAGACGGCCAACAGTGTAACCATTTGTCGACAACTCGAGAAACTGCATACACGTAGGCACTATATCCAACGACGTACGATTGGACCGAGTAGAACAAGATAGGGAATTACATGTAGATAAACCATGGAACGTGGTGCGTGGAGAATACGCAGAGTGACAGAGTGCCTGCTACTGGGGCCGATGCGGACGGCAGAGGAAAGGGCTCCGTGGCCCAATGACAAAGACGCTATTTCCATTCCCGCTGCTCGGATCCAATAGGGCCGTCCAGTTATATGGAGACAGTATGGGATCCAATGAGCATCTGTTTTACCGCTAGATAAGTGGACAACACCAGGTTCTTGCCTGAGAGTAAGTACTGATTTGGTTGCCTGTGAAGCAAGGCAACAAGGCTACATTTGGTCTTGTGTCCTCATCACCTTACCACCTCAAGGTACGTAGGTAAGGTAGGTACCTCAGGTAGGTTCTTCAGGCTTCGGCGACTGATTCTTTAGTGACCAATTGCCTGAGGACGCTGGCCTGTCAATGAAACTTAGCGCCTCTGCTTCCGTCCACGGCCCTGCCGTAAGCCCGCAACATCCCTGGCCTTCCCGTCTCGACATTCCATTAGCGATCGAGAACACCGCTTTTCGGCATCAACTTTTCCATCGGAGCCCACACACTCCTTTCTCTCTTCCCCTGTGCCCCCCTTAGCTAACGGCCACACGGCAAACCGCGAGAAAAGGAAAAGGGCGAAAAAAGAAGAGAAAAGTCTGTTCAGTTTGACACACGAGCATACATTCGAACAAACGGCACCACCATCAACACACCCTGACTCGCCTCATCGCTCCAAACCCATCGGGCTCCCCGTTGCGTTGACCGAACCGTTCGTTTCCCACGCCGCCAACGCCGTCGCCGTTCCTGCAAGAAAGGTCATTCCACCCTTAGCAGCTCACCGCAACCCCCTCCCCCCCTCCCCCCTTTCCCCCCGTCCGACGACCGATGATTACGCAACAAGTCCCTTCCGTCCCCCCACCCCGCCAGACTGCCGCCGCCGCCGCCGGCCACAAAACTCTCAACTCACCGTATCCACAATGGCTTCCGTCGGCTCCCCGCCCGCCCCCGAACTCCTAATGGCAGTTCGTAACGAGCACAACAAGCCCTCCGTCTTCCGGTCCCTCCTCGTCATCCGTCTCCTCAACGCCTGGTGGGTCCTCACCTTTTTCCAGCCCGACGAGTACTTTCAGGCCCTCGAACCCGCCTGGCGCATCGCCTTTGGCCAAGGGAGCGGCGCCTGGATCACCTGGGTGAGTTTCCATGCTCTCTATTCGCAATTTTTTATTCATCATCACTATTCACAAGCTTCATTGATCCCACGTGCAACTAACGCACACACACACACCCCAGGAATGGAGAAACCAGCTCCGCTCCTCGCTGCATCCCGCCCTCTTCGCCGGCGTCTACACCCTCGCAGACCTCGTCGCCCGGCCCCTCCCCATCATCAGGCCATGGCTCCTCCTCGCCGCTCCAAAGGCCGCGCAGGCCGTCTTTGCCGCCGCCGGCGACTGGTACACCTGGCAGCTGGCCGTCAAGATCTACGGCGCCGATAGCTCCGTCTCATGGTTTGCTGTAAGTCACCATCACCACCACTACCACCACCAGTAGCCGTTACAACTGCTACCTCCGCACAACTGGTCAAACCATGGCTGACGCAACGTCCTCGTATAGCTGTTCATGAGCATGTTCAGTCCTTTCCAATGGTACTGCTCCACCCGCACCTTTTCCAACTCGCTCGAGACCACGCTCACCATCATGGCCCTCAACTACTGGCCCTGGGAGCTCCTCGGTGATGCAAAGACGGAAAAGGAGAACCCCAAGCCCGCAAGGTCCATCTTGCACACGCCAGGGACGCTCACTAGGTACGTTTCCGTCTCTCGCATCTTGACACCGGCCGGCCACCCACCTGAACCGGCCTCCAAAGAAACACATTCACTCACACGCCAATAGTCTCCGCCTATCCCTCATCCTTGCCGCAACAGCAGTCCTCCTCCGCCCAACAAATATCCTCATCTGGATACCAATCGCCCTCGCAACTCTCCTCCGGCCCCTCCACTCCGGCTCCGGCCCCGGCTCCACCACCTCCGTCCTCACCCCGCAAACCATCCTCCTCCTCCTCCGCGAAGCCCTCCTCTGCGGCACCCTCGTCCTCTCCCTCTCCCTAACCTCAGACCGCCTCTACTTTGGCCAATGGGCCTTCCCCCCCTACAAATTCCTCTACTTCAACCTCTCCCAATCCCTCGCCGTCCTCTACGGCCGCAACGACTGGCACTACTACCTCTCCCAGGGCCTCCCCCTCCTGTCAATGACCTACCTCCCCTTCGTCCTCCTGTCACTCTACAACCCGCCCTCACCACCACCACCGCGCTCCACCAAAATCCCCAGCAAAGCAACCCTCGAAACCCTCACCTGGACAGTCTACACCACCATCGCAGCCCTCTCCACCGTCTCCCACAAAGAAGTCCGCTTCATCTACCCCCTCCTCCCAACCCTCCACATCCTCGCCGCCGCGCCCCTAGCATCCTTCTTCACCACCCCGGCCCCGCCACCGACCCCGCGCTCTCCGCTCCCGAAGCCCCGCCTCCGCCGCAAGCGCCTCCTCGCCTCCGCCCTGGGCCTCCACGCCGCAATCGCCTTCTTCCTCACCCTCCTCCACCAGCCCGCGCCCCTTACGGTCCTGACCTTCCTCCGCACCTCGTACGCACGCATACACCCGGAGCAGGCCGCCACATCGGCCCCGATCGCGTCCCTGGCCTCGGCCTCGTTGGCTTCCTCCTCCTCCTCCTCCTCCTCCTCCTCCTCATCACCGCCAACACCAGGCTCATCATCCTCGCCAACGACAAAAGAATCACAAGGCAACGAACTCTTCGCCCTCTTCCTAACGCCATGCCACTCCACCCCCTGGCGCTCCCACCTCCTCCACCCCGCCCTCCGCGCCCGCGCCCTCACCTGCGAACCGCCCCTCCACACCAAACCAGACACCCCCGAACGCGAGGCCTACCGCGACGAGGCGGACCGCTTCTACGACGACCCCCAGCTCTTCATGGCGACCGAGTTGTGGCCGGCAGCCGAGGCCAGGTCCAGCCCCGACTCCGACTCCGAGCCAGCAGCAGCAGCAGCAGCAGCAGCAGCAGCAGCATCATCATCAGCACCACCAGAAGACATCCCCCGCTACATCGTCGGCTTCGAAGGCATCGAACCCTGGCTCCACGACTTCTTCTCCTCCCCCCACGGCGCAGGCCACAATCTCGGCGTGAGCCCGAAACGCGTCTGGTCAGGCTGGAACGGCTTCTTCAACGAGGACGCCCGCCGGCGCGGGAAGCTCGTCGTTTGGGATACGGGGCTGTATGCTACTGTATCCTAAACACAAAAAGTCAAAAAACATTAGTAACAGTCAGTGTAGGAATAAGAGTAAAGAGTCGAGAAGTTAAAAAACGGCAATAAGTTCCATTCTCACATACCCCTTCCCACACAAGAGCATCATCGTGAACTTCAAATATGACAAAAAATTCTTTCTTTTCCTACCCTATCCTGGGCCCGTGAACACATGTAACCAAATCCCCAGGAAACGTTAGAGGGACAGGAGCGGCCGGGGCTACTACACGTCATGACAAAAAAGAAAACGCCAACTTGACAGGATACCCTTCATAGCGAGCGAGCCCGTAGACAATGCGTCGCTGTACACCAAGCCAGAGAATCGAACAACTCCGTACATTTATGATGATTCACCAACAACAAGCACGCACATGCCTCCTTTTTCTTTTCAAACGTTCAAACGTGGATTCTTGAAACTTTGGGTTGGCCTCGCCTAGGCCGGCCCCCCTTCCCCTTCCCCCTCAGAAACCCTTGATGTATCAGGTCCAGCCATGAGTGAAATGAAATATTCCACAGAAAAACGTGCTCTTGATAAACAAAACACCTCAAATGGGCATACTTCGAACGCGGCTCATTGTCGGTATTACCGCGCCGCTTCAGGTGCTGGCTGCGTTGGCGGTGCGATCTCCGGCTGAGAGGCTGCTGCCAACTGAGACTTTGCCGGTTGGGCCGGTGCTGGTGGGTTTGCTACGATAGATGCGGGAGGCGGCGATACTGGACTCGTTACCGTTGGAGATGATGCCTGCTGCGATGGTGCTGATGTCGGCTGGGGTGGCGGAGGTTGAGAGGTTGTGGTTTGCGTCGCTACCGGCTGAGCCGCCGCCGTCTGAGTTGGGGCCGCTTGCTGCGGCAATGGTGGCACAGGTGGGTTCTGTGCCCTCTCGTCGGGTTCCCTGCGAATATCTAGACTCTTTCCCCTTCCTGACATGATGCTGGAGCCTCCCAAAGAAGATTGTCGGTCTGCTGGGGGCGATTTGTTCCGTCGCTCAGCGCTCTCCTTGGCTTCACGGTATTTGTTCCTAATCCAACCGATGGGCCCCTTAGATTCGTCCTTGCCGTCCTTGTCCCGCGATTCATGACTGGTTTGTGCCTCGGCAGTGTACATGCCAGTTTCTGAACTTTCACCGGTGAAGCTCTTCCGGGGCCTGTATCCGCCGCTGCCAATCGAGGTCACGCTAACGTCGGCATTGTCGTTGGATCCGAATGCCAGACGCGGAGAGGTGATTGAAGGGTGGTGCTCGTGGCCCCTCTGTCGTGAAAGTCGCCATCTTCTCTTCTTTTCCTTATCCGGCTCGCTGGCGTCTGCCGAAGTCGTCACAATGGATTCTTCAGTCTGATCAACGTCAGAACCTTCGTTAAATGATGAGTGAAGTGATGTCGGCGGCGATTTCTTAGCCTTGAGCGTCTGCTCGGGATGTAGGGTGTTGCTAGAGGGGACCTGTGATGCACGCGGGGTGGGTTCCGAGGGTGTATCAACTGCACCAGGCTGCTGGCCAATCGCGAGGGAATCGTGCTCTGGGATTGTATCGGCCACCAGATCCATGGGGTTGGGGGCCTCAAGACTAGGGGACACAGCGGCTGAGTGCGTACCGGACAAGGATGCGGCCGAGCTTTGCGCGCTCGGGTTCAAGCTCCCAGGAATGCGCTTCTTCTTCAGTTTGTTCGGTTGTCGTTTCTCGCCCTCTCCCGTGGGGGATCTTTGGAATATGCTAGGAAGGACTCTTTCCTTGATGGGCGTCGTAGCTTCATTCGGGTCAAGCAGCCTCTCCTGGCTTCTGCCTGCATTGCCAGCAGCGGTGGGTGCCAGGCTGGATGTACCTATTGCAGCCGGCGCGGGGGAAATGCTCGACGCAGCAGGGGACTGATCAGGTGCTTCGACAAGCTCTTCCGTCGTCGCCGGGATCATGGGCTCACGCGGTGACGAGCCTGGAATGGGTGAAGCATCACGTCTGAACCTTCCCGTCTGAAGAGCAGGGGACTTCTTGGAAGGGACTGTGTTGCTTCTGCCAAGGCCGCTATTCGGGGTTGGTGCGAGTGCCGGGCTGTTTGGGGTCGTAGAACCTTCATGGTGCGAGTGCCTTGAAGATGTCGATCGGTTTCTTCTGAGCATTCCGTCTCTTCGTACACTGTCGGCGCCGGCACTGGCATTGGATGAAGACCGACCCAGACCCGACTTCCTGTTAGGGTTAGGAGTCACTGGCCCACTGGCTGCAGGGGGTGTGCCTTTTTCGATCAGCTGCTTTGTCTTCTCGTCAGTAGCCGTGCCCTGCATGCCAATCAAGAAGTGATCCTGGTTTTCGATGAGGAAAATGAGCACGCATTGGTTCAAGCGATACTCTTCAGGCGCCATGGCGTGCTGCGGGTGCGACAGCATGCCGGGTTGGAAGATTGCTGCTAGATTCTGTGAGTTCATCCTGTTCTCTTCCGACTTGGCGGCGAAGACAGCGAGCAAATCCAGAATGTATAGCAGAAGCTGGCGATTCAGTGGTGGAAGTTCCGTGATGAGCTTCTGGTACTTGACGATGGCTGCTTGATCGTCAAAATTTTCGACAAACTGCGGGCCTTCGGCATCGCCCACGGCTTGCCTCGTGGCGCCTCGCAACGGTTCCCTGAACTTCTCGTATAGATCTAGCGGCACAACGGGCTCAGGAAGGTCGTTGAGGTATCGTCGGAGCACGTTGGCAGCATCGTGAACCGTGTAATTGTCCCACACCAGGCCCTTTCCGTAGCGATCGGGTGAGTCGAAAATCTGTTTCAGTTCCTTGATTCGTTTCTCGGAGCCACTGAGGCGGAAAATGCCCTCCACCGTTGTTGCTAAGAAGACGGGACGTGAGCATGTTGGAGATGGACCGTCATTCAAGTACACTTACCCTTTTCCTTCAAGAAGACGCCGCACTTGGCGACAACAATCGGTACGTAGCCATAAATATAGCTCTTTCCGTTCTCGTCGACAAGAGATATCGCCACATTGGCGTAGGTGATGCTCTGACGGAGAGGAACGCCGAAAATTCCGTGAGGCCGGTTGTCTGCTGTAGAAACTTTAGCACATGAAGTAGAAGACGTTTTCACAGCCGCGCGGATGTGCTTGGCACACTGGCGCACAGGCATGGTGATAGACAGGGACAGCCTGTTGAGCCGACCAGTCGGGTTCAAGGTATTGGAGGCTGTCGCATCACTCGAAGCGCAGACTTGAGGTAAAATGGGATCGCAGGACCCAACAGGATGGGTATCTTGCAACAGCAAGACAAGACTGAGAGGTGCGGCTGACGTATCGATTGCCTCGTCGACATCTTCACTGAAGAGGGTTTGGGTGGGAGTTGGGGTTGGTTGTTGCGATGCGAAAGTAGAAGGGGCTCTACCGTGATGTTCCTGATGCTTCGAAGGAAGCTTGAATCCTTTCCACCACGACTTCAGGTCTCTCTTATTCGGAGTCGAGGGCGCGGCGGGCGCGGTCGAGTTACTCGTGGGCTGAAAAGCCTGGTAGGGGGGAGTAGCGGCGGACGTCATCGCAATGACGGAGCGCAGGTGGTCGGAGCTCAATTACTTTATCGCAGCCAGCGTCCTTTGGTTGTCGTGGGAATCGAGTATGAACAAAGTGTGTCAAGCGACAGAGTTTTGTCGAGCGACGATCAAAGAAAGTTGGATGTTAGAGACAGATTCAGTGCAGTCGGTCTTCGATCTGTAGGTCAATCGGTTGGTCGCTTGGTCGCCTGGTGGTGTTTTGGCACAGGATCGAGTCGCTTGAAAGGTATTGGGTGTGAGCATGCGCTAGGATGAGATGCGACGCGCAGGCGGTGATTGGCCGTGGGCTTCTTTTGGCGCGCAAATATTCCTTTGTCGAGTGAAGCGCTCCTAGAGACCGTCTTTGGAAGCCCTCCTTGTCTTGTGTTGCAAAAGCCCTGCTGTTGATGTCATGAAGAAGTTCCGACCCGAGTGTGAGTAGGAAGGGGAACAGGGGCGAGCGAGTGAGGTGACGAAGAGCGTCCGTGTAGGTGAAATGACCCAGGTGTATTCGGGCAGCGTTGACCGGGGACAGAGGGCGGCGGGCGACGACGATGCGGAGCTAGAGAGGGGATGGCGGGAGTCGGTAAGACAGGAGCGAGCTGTGCGTTGGTGGGATTTTTTCGACGACAGAAAACGAATGGAAGCGAGCGACGTTTCCGACCAGAAGACTAGGCGCGACAACGACTCGTTGAAACCTCGTTGACGATAGTTGTCGGTCGGGCAAAATAGGGCAAGGAAAGAAGGAGTTTGGTCTGGAGAAGAGAGTCTGGGGGTTGAGTAAGGTAGAAGGGGGAAGGAAAATGCGAGGTATGTGCACCGGTACCAGGTAAGCAATAGGAAGGTGAGTAAGGTGAGGTGAGGCAAAGGCAGAGCTCAAAGAGAGAGAGAGAGAGAGAGAGAGAGAGGGCGAAGCAAGTACGGAGTCGGTACGGAGCACTTTAGGTACGAATAGACGAAGGCGGAGGGACGCAGGAGAGGTTGCAGGTGCCGGTGCAAGTCAGAGGTCCAGGTCCAGGTTGGGGTTCAGGTCCAAGTGGTCCAGGCCGGGCGTAGGTGTAATGTGCGGGTGCGTATGTGCGTAAATCGGGCGAGGTCAGGAAATGTAGGTAGTGGTACCTAGGTGATGTAAGGCAAAGCAAGGCAAGGCAAGGTCAGAGAGAGTGTGTGAAAGAGAGAGAGAGAGAGAGAGGAAGAGAGCACCTTAGGTGAGGTGTGAGGTAAGGCAGACGCCCAAGGTAAGGTAGGAAAAGAGGTGTGGAGGGAAGGAGTATGGGTGTGCGCTAGACACGTTGTCGTCAGTGGGTGATGAGACCAGTACTTTTTGTTTCCTTTTCTTCTAATTTGATTCAATCTCACAGGCAGCAACTCCAGGCCAGGCTGGAGTGTCGACGCTGGTAAAGTTGATAATGGACAGTGAATGAGCGTAGTGTAGTTGAGTGAGTGAGACTGTAATAAGAGAAAGACTGAGACTGAGACTGAAAGCGAGAGTGAGGTTTTGCTTTGCAGCAGCAATGAGTATTACTGAGGTACCCAACTGTGGACAATGAAGTATGGTACCCAGAGTACGGAGTACGATGTTGGACGTCGACGATGCGGGAACCGTAGACCCTGAGAAGCAAGCATGGAGTCGGGGAAACGCGAAGTACCCAGAGCTGAGCGAATAACGGTTACAGTGCCCAGCGATCCGCGGACAGAGAAATTCAATAGACACACGACGGGCAGCGTCAAGCAAGCATCAATAACACACACGTACACGCATCAGGGGCAGCAGCACCAGCACCAGCACCAGCAGAAGGAGCATACCAAGCGGTACAACTCGTCAGCGCGGCGGCGGCAGCCAGGCGCTGACATTACGGGACGGGATGGATAACCCGGATCAAGAGAGCAGCAAAGAGCAGGGTTGCCGCCGGTCAGGTGGTCTGGTAGGGCCAGCGACGATGGGGATGGATGAGGGTTGTGAGGGGTTGGACGGCTGCGATACCGATGTCATGCCCATTTGATGGAGCCAGAGGGCAGAGGCTCCAATGTGAACTCAATGTCAATATCTACGCAGTAAGCAGTACTCCGTACTTAGCACTAAGGTAAGGTAAGTAAGTAGTGGGCTCAGGGACTGGCGCTGGGCCTTGGCTGGAGAGGTCGGGTGGGAGGAAACGGGAGTGTGGGAGCGGGAGTGGAAACATAAGATACCTGCCTGCCCCGCCACTCTCGTCAGGGAATGGAAGTACCCCTAGGTGAGGTGCGTCTAAATGGCCCGGAGCAGTGCTCACGAGTGGAAGAGAGCTGGCCTGGGACCTTGCAAAAGCTCCAGAAGGCCCAGGGACCAAGACAGGCCAGACACTCCAGGCCCATTATACGGTGGAGAGAAAGACTCGTCGAGGCCCGAAGGCTGCAGCGGCCAATGTGTGCTACTGATGCGCAGTTACGTGCGACGTGGGACGTTGGATGCTGCTGGGCGGAGGCTGCTGGGCGGAGGCCGTTCATTAGCCGTCTGTCACTGGTCGTTCCCGACTGTCGCGGACTCACGGCGTCTCCCTGACCACTGGGGTTCCTGGCCAGCTATGTTAGCACTTCACCTTAGCTATTAACCTAGAGTACCCAGACGTCAGGGCCCATGGCAGCTAGTTGTCGGTAGGGTACTGTCACCGATGATCGAAGAGGAGGTGGGCTGGCGATAGCGATGGTGATGGTGATATTTCACCTTGGGATACCTTAGGTACCTTGTTCGAAGAGTAGTCCCTTATCGTGATGGCGGCAGTGGAAATGGAAGACTGCCCTGTCGTTACATGTTGCTTGCTGGAGAAAGGCTGACAGCATGCAAGGGGACAACGACGCGGCACTTCCTGGTAGATGGACGCAGAGGCACGGTGGTATGCAAGAGGAGACGCAGAAAGAGAATGGATGAATCTGCAAACCTAAGGTAACTCACAGTGTTGTCCACGCCCATGTCTCCATATCAAAGGTACGTACCTTACTATGCATACAAGTACAAGTGACAATAAACGCTTTTGTCCATCTCCAGCTGGCAGGTCCAAAGTGAGTGCCGTAATTTCCATGTTGCCATGCACCCAGCTCCAAAGACGGCCAAGTACCTTTCATATGACCATCATGGCAAGATAGTACCTCGCCGCATTTTTTTTGGCTCTGTGGGGCGTCGTCAGGAAGGATCAAATGGGACGACGGGAGGCCTGGGCCATCCTGGGTGCCTGCCACCTGGGTTCTTACCTCTGGGGGCTGGCAGAACTTCGACTCTGGAAGCAGCCAAAGCAGCGTGAGAGGGAAGGACTCAAGGAGAACAATGGGAGAGGCCAGGAAGGAGGGGTGACCCTGCCGACGGGAGCTCTTGCGCGAAATGAGACTGACGAGATGGTAGTGGGTCCTAGACTCGGGAGTCCCAGTGACCACTGATGGGCGGCCCTTTCTCCGAGTCCTCCCCGCCTGGCGGGTTGGTCTAAATTTTTGTTTTTTTTATTTATTGTTCAACACCAGATCAATAAAACAATCACATTCAATCAATCTCTCATTTCACGACTACGCACTTACACACGTACTCTGCATCAGTCTAGTGATTTCAGTCCACACTGTTCAAATCTCAGTCCACATCACACTCGCACACACGGCGTTAGATCCTTACGAATACCTCACACTGAATTAAGATACCTACACAGATATACTCTGAGCACCCAGACGAGACGTGCATACGGATACCTACCAGGTAGTGAAGTACCTAGGTACCTTGGGTCTCGCGGTGGAGTGAAGGCAGAGATTTCATACGGCGTCTACAGTCCGGCGAGGAACTTTAAGTTAAGGTACGGCAAGGGAAGCGTGCAGATGCTACCAGCCACGCCACGCCACGCTCTCACTTGTCAAGATCTTGAGTTCCCATCTCGAAAAGATGCATCACTTGGGCATCTGTGAGCGATATTACCTCAGCATCTTGACATTTATGATTCGACTCCCCCAATCCCTTGGTCTTTGGGATCTAAAGATCCGAGTTCTATCGCTTGCGCACTTCATCGCGAAATAAACTGCCGGCATGCGTCAACCCCTTTTCCCTACATGATTTACAACTCACAGCGCCTTCGCTACGGGTGAAAAGGGTACCTCATACACAGATGCCGCATGCCTGTGTCAAGGTGCCCAGCGGATTTGCCGCATGCTGGAAAGGCCCCTCTTCCCCTCTTGAGTCTTTTCGGCCGTTCGCGAAAAGCCTCGCGAGTCAAGCTTGGGAGGTGGACTCGTGCGGCACTGCAGCTTGCTGCCAGCGCTTGTCAGTGAGGAGAGTCACTAATTCCCTCCACGAAAGCTTAGATATGCAGTGCCCTGACATACGAGCAGAGAGCTTTCATGCGGGCAGTGGTAATTGCACGGTGACAGCCACGTTGCCCGCAGTCCGAGGCGCCTCTGTACTCCCGAGTCTCCAGCCTCTCGATGGGATCTGCCTGGTCCAATTGATGGTTTGGATGGTTCATCCATGGTTGTCGTCTGCTTAGACGTGGAGACAAGTCCCCTCTTCTGCTCCTAGCGGCGCTGGCGGGAGCTCACCGGAGCTTGGGCGCTCTAGTACGGGTAACGGAGCCAGGAGAATACCAGTTTTGGAAATTGGTTCTAGAAAGGAAAAAAACAAGGGCGATGATATCCTGCCACCACCTGCCGCTATTCTGCCCCTAAGTGTGGCTGCGGCCGCCACACGACCGCCGGTCTCGGGTACATATATAAACTAGGCTCTGCGTAGTTAGTATTCGAACGGATTAAGCTAATTAGAGGCCGTTAATTAACTTATAGTTAATTAAATTATTTTAATAAAAAGTATAGTAATTAATAAATTAGCCTAATTAACTATTAATTACTTTATATAGCCTATAGTCCGTAATTTAGTAACTTCCTCTACTTTAGCCTCGTACTTTACTTTAGCCTCGTATTTATTAATAAGTCTATTTATCTCGCTTTTTATTATAAGATTAATATTATAAAAGTAATCCTCGTTAACTAAATCTTATAATACGTCTAATTATATAAGATTATTAGTTAATTAGGATCGTAACTTTATAAGCGTTAGCGGCCGAGGAGCCCTTATAAAATTAATTATATTACTATTAACTATGTTAATTACTTTATTAATAATAGTCTGCTAATACCCCTACTATATCTCTATACTAAGCTCGTATATATTAAAATCGTATATAATCTTAAGGCCTTATTAAATAGAAATAGCCTTACTTAATACTAGAAATATTATTAATAATAGTAGTACTAGTATAAGTACTACTTTTATGCGTTTAGTAGCTTTTTTATATTTAAATATAAAGGGCTCTTATCTAGAGGAAGTACTTAGATTAACCGCTAGCTTTTTTAATTTAAGTATTATAATACTTATTATAACTACTATAATACTTATTATAGAGCCCTATAAGTAACCTTTACCTCGGATTTATAGGGGATTGAGTAGGGGGGTAGAGGTATTATTATTAATAATAAGTTCTAAGCGTTATTAAAACTAATATAAATAGATCTTTTTTAGTAATATTAGGGTACTATCCTTAATATACTACTAAAGGACGTAGTAATAAAGTAGCCTATAAGTAGTTTAAATTAAGTAGGGTACGCACTCTCTTAACGGCTTTTTATATAAACCTAAATTTAGTTATTTACTTAGTATACGGAGTTCTTATAAAAGGTACCTAAGGGTATTATAATATATATACGTACGTACCTTTTTTTAGAGTAATTTTATAATAGTACTTAATACCTTAGCTTAGTAATAGGTCTAGTAAGTACTAATTATAGCCACTTAACCTACTTAAAAATAATTAATTTATTAAATACGGCTTTAAAGTCGCCTATATAGTAGTAGATTCGTATTTTAATATTCGTATATAAGGATTTAATAATTAACGTAGTTAAGTAACCGAAGTACTTAATTTAGTTAACCTAAATAAGTACGATTTTCTTATACTACGGCTTAAGCTAAGTATTAATAACGTAATTAATTACTACCGTAAGGTACTTAGTAATCTTAAATTTAAATAATTAGTTATAGTATATAGTTATTAATTAGTTACGGAGGAGATTACCCTAATCCGTAAGGAATTATTAAAAGCGAGGGTTATACATAATTATACTAGTCTCGTCCCTCGTAGCCGGGCTAAAATAGCGTTAGGTCTTAGTTAGTACGTTAAAGTTAACGTACTAATAATAGAATATGTATAGTATTATTTTAAATTAAGTATTATTATTAAGGGCGTTAAATAAAATAATTTTATAATCTATATACGTAACTTATAGAAGGGGAATATTATAGGCTTGGAGTAATACCGATAGCTAATCGATAGCTTAATAATAGTTAGCTTCTTTCTTATTAAATTAAAAGTAGCTCGTAATTTAGAAAATATAACTATTATTTATAGTTCTGTAAATATTAAATAGTAGTATATTAAATTAATTAGTTTTATATATAAAATCTATTAATAAAATATCTGGATATTATTAAAGTAGGGAAATTGTAGTAATAAGTACGATAAATAAGCTCGTAATATAGCCCACGTTATTGCGTTAGAAGTAGTATTAGTACTTTATAAAATTACGTAATTAGTTAAATAATTACTTAATAAGGGATCTGCTATTTAATTTATTATGGCGGTAAGTAGTTAGTATATTAAGTATATTATAAGTAATAATACTACTATAATTACTATTTTTTAACTAAAAGCTTAAAAGGATTTAAATAAGTTAAATACTTTTATTTTATTAATTAACGATTTAGCCCTTTTTATTATATAGTAGCGCGTAGTAATAATACGTAAAAGTATTAATATAGCTAAATAGGTAGTTATAGTAGTTATAGAAGTTATTAATAACGGGATAAAAGAGCTAGTTACTATTTAAAAAGCTAGTAGCGATCTATTAATAGTAGTCTATAAATAAGGTTAAGGATTTATAATACTTATTTAAGTAGGTTAACTTTATAAAGCGTTATTATTTTTAATTATAACGCGGGCTATAAGTATAGTAATAAGTAATAATAGTTAGTGCCTTAGTAAAGGGTTTATATTAAACGATTCGGATTATAAAGCTAGCTTCGTAAGTAGCTTTATTAAATACTACTCTAGCTTTAAGTAAACTAGAGAAGTATTAGTTATAAAGTAAGTAGTTATACTCTACGTAACCATATTTATTATAATTAATAATATATTAATAAATAAAGGGATTATTAACTTCGCAATTATTCTCTTTTTATAGTATATTAACGTTAGGAATAGTTTTAATTAGTAATAGCGGTAGCGGCAGCGACGGCGAGGTTAACGAAGTAATAGTAGGTAGGTAGGTAGGTAGGTAGGTAGGTAAGTGGGTAAGTAAGTAGGTGGGTATGGGCAGCTGGGCTCCGTAGTCGGAGGCAGGGGCGGTCGCAGCCACAATTGGGGGCAGGATATCGGCAGGTGCTGGCAGGATATCATCGCCCAAAAACAAAACATGAATAGGAACCAATAAACAAAACAAAACAAAAAAGACGTCGGGACGCAGTCGCCAGGAAAGAAGAAAAAACAAACACGAGAGCAAGAAACTGTCTACTTCCCCTCGTGATTATCCACTCCAGAAGTCGGCGTAAGACCAGAATCGATTCAAGAGAGACCCATCTAGGGCACTTTCCTCAATCACCACTAACACCTCTATGCTGCCCTTTTAAAGGCCGTGATCCTTAGGTCTTAACACTCAGGTTATCCATATACTCGCCAAAATACTACTCACGTACCATCTTAAGCCTTCAGTTGCTTTTATTCTCCTCCCGCGATAGTGGGAACTCATTCAGTACCAAAAGATATTGTTTATGTCTTAGGCCTCTAACAATCATCAGGCAAAATCTGTAGTAAGGCAGGCACAGCAGGCTCAGGTGCGCAGTCTGACCATGGACACGACGGGAATGCGCCGCCGGAGGTACCTGCATTAATTGGCACCTGCTCGTCTCGTCCAATCCGGGCTGGGCACCAACTGACCGATGCACCTGCCAACCTGGTTCCCAAGCTGGCGGGCACCTCTTTCCTCTTTCTCATCTTCCATCTCAAAGTACCTCAAAATAAGGTACCTTATCTTGAGATGGAAAGAAGAAAGTGTATCTATGACACGCGACTGCCACAACATCAGGCCAGCCGTGAATTCGTTTTGCAATCAATTGACTTTTGGACTGAAAATATTCCCACATTGCCGGCCGCAAGCCGCATTTCTCTTCCCACATGAGCCGGGGCTGCACATCGTCACATCGACACGCGAAACCCACCGTGCGGCGTGCTCAGCTATCCGTCCGGCTTTCGCTTTTTTGAGACTCACTGTCTTATTCTCAACGTACCCTCTTACTTGTCCCTGTCTGTCGAAGTGTTTTGCAAATGTCAACCATGGCCATTTCTGCCATTTCATCGTATGGACTACCTATCTCGGACTCGAAAACTTGGCTTTCGTTGCAATTTCCGTCCCGCAACCTGCTTTCGGTCGGTGGATCTGCTGTTATCAGTCTGGGAGGAAGAATCTAGCAAAGTAGCGTTTCGTTTCCCCTGCCTTCCTTGGTCGAGTCATCAAATGCTACCACGACGACATCATCTTGCTCTCACCCGTCCGTTTTGAGCTTCTCCTGAACCAGAACAGGACTTCCGTCACGTCTTGACCTCAGGGCGCGGTCCATTTGCTGGTCCAGCCCGAAGCTCCGTCTCCGAAGAGGCAAAAGCCGCTGTCGATCACCTTGCCAGCGCCGAACTAAGCCTCCTGGCGGATGGAACTGTGCCGGCACGATCAGGCCTTGTAACCATGGACTCAACCGACGACATCTGTCCATGCCTGATGTGCCAGTCTGCTCTGTGGGACAATCAAAGCGTGCAAGGCATCGACTACCTATTGCGTATCTAATCTAATGTATTCAAGAGTAGAAAGTGCTGTCTCCCGCTTTGGACTTTCTCCTCAGCTTGACCATAGTACAAATGCGATCCATTGTGGTGGAGCCGAGACACACAACACCACAGGGCATTCGTTCGTTGTGCTCCCTCGCGGCCCTCTTCTCCGGAGTGATACCGCCGCTCAGGAAATGCAGAATCTCGTCTCGTAACGTCGGCGCCGAGATTCAACTCGTCCAGGCAGTCAATTCGTCACTCGTGGCCAGATACCATGCCACTTCCAAGCTTCGGTTCGCAGCACTCACCTGCAACCGACAGAGTCTAGCCAATGGGCCCCAGGACTTGCTACTCCTAGCGCACCCTGCGCTCTCTGACTGACACCAACACATCGGCCGACGTTCCAGGTAATGTCTGACAGCTTTGACACCAATGTCTCGCATTTTATCCGACATGCCTCTGGTCCAGGAGAGCAAAGCCTAAGACTCCTCGTGTTTTCTCATCAGTTCAGCAACATGGAGTCATGGGCGATTGGCTCCCGGGTCACGGTTCACATACCTTTTGCAGAAAAGCAACACAAGCCACCCAACACAACCCAATGGCACCCATCCGACCCAAGGTGGCAGCCTCTGCACTGTCTGCAGAGCAGAGCCCAGATGCTGGATCTTGCCGAACATCCATCGTTCCGACCATTCATCGGCCTTTCCATGCCCATGTCTATCCCATCTTCAGGGACTGGCGGGTCACAGTGGCTTCCATAGCAGCAGATACCCTACCGCTACTTACGCTCTCGAGGCCCTAGCCAGAGACCAGGCGGTAATCCGCATGTACTCTTCTGTCTCATTGGCAATTGCTCCCATCCCCATAGCTACCTGATGACGTCGTGTACCTCCGGCTTCGACGACGATGCCCGCATCCCCCGCCAGGTTTATGTCAACGGCCTTCAGTGCTTGAAAGAGCTTGTTGCCCCGACGCCCTTCCCGGCTTCGACAGTGATGCCTCCAGGTCCCGACATGCCGCCCACTGCCACCGCACAGCACCACGCCACACCCTCACACCCTCTAAGACTACGTACCATTGTGAAGACCCTTCAAAATGCCGTCAATGAGCTGGTCCAACCAATGCCGGGTTCATCCCGTTTCCATAATTAGCACCAAATCCTCTCTCGTCATGCAGGGACACACAGCGCCCGTTCCCCAAGTCAGAAATGTCGTGTTTCCTCACCCGCACCTGTTGTCCAACGACAACCGAGTGGGATTTGCGGAGAAGACCTGCCTCGGACGCGGCTTTGGCATCATCTCTACTGGCTGCATCGCATTTCCTTCGTCTTCAACGCACTCTGTACGCAGTACCTAGTCGACCTTTGGGGGTGGCGCAGAACCACACAACTTCGTCATCAAAACCAGCCCATTCGCCTCAGCTCGCCCAATAAGGACTGACTTTCGCCTTGCCCTGTTTACCGTCGCATTTTTCGGGACACACTCACAACTGGCTCTTGGCCGGAGAGATCTCTGATTTACAGCCTATCTACAACACAACTGCAGGAAATGAAACAGGCTAATTGTTGAAACGGAGGATTCTTGTCTAAGCCATAGGCATTCAGCCCTGCAGGACCACCACTTGCAGACCCTTTGCCGTCCATACGAGCCAAAATCCCACGCAACCCACGCAACCATGACAACTTCACCTCCTTGATAGGCAACGGTTCGAATCCACACTTTAACCTGTTGTTCAGGTCCGAGGAACGCGGGGTAGAAGGCGATGGAAGGAGGGGCATAGCCACACTCTGTTCCTCCATCATGCGCTCACATGAATGTGCTTTTAATACGATAGCGTGCTGACTTTGCGCACATCGTAGCTTGTCCATGGGCAGCGCGAATGTGGGGGCTCGGAGCTGTCGGGAGGGCATTCGCTCTCTTAACTTGGCAGTTCGAAGACTGAAGTACCTATTTGTGGATACGCAGCATTCGTGATTCCAAGTTCTTCATCAAGGACTTTACTGCATGACTTCCTTGGTTCTTGGTACGATTGACAACTCAGAGCTGGTTGCGGGAATGATTGTGGGCCGTTGTTCACGAGACACGCGCGAGTGATCGACGAAGATGACGGGGGAGATGAATTGTCTCGCTTGATTCTGGAGGCGATTTCAACTTTTGACCGTAATGCACGTGATGGTAGCAGGGTGGGAGTGGTCTCAGAGGCACTGCCATTGAATCAATCATGCCCATCGTTGCAAATCCCGTGAGGTGAGCTTTTGACTGGGCTATGCACAAGAAGGCGAAGTTGGCTAGAATGCATCGTGACTCGGTTGACTAGGTGTACGAGTTTGACGACACGTTGACAGGGTCGAGGCCGAGTGACTTTGTAAGGGCAACCTCGCGATCTGTTTCAAAGGCCACGAGATTTTGTCGTGTTATCGAAGGATTTGCGTCCGTCACGTGGTGGTGTTTGGAAGAGTGCACCGGAAACTATACTACAAGCGTATTATAGAGCTTGCCTTGCGTCCTTCCGGGGTAAGTTATCTGATCCAGAGTCTCTTTAAGTCAATGGAGAGAAGCAAGGTGATGATGAGAGTCATGCCCACCCTCCCCCTTCCCCCGTCTCGGGGGGGGAGCTTTCGTAGTCTCGAGATTCTGGGTTTACCTTGCGTCTTGGTAGTCTGACCTCACCAATCTGTTGCTTGGTCCTCAAGTCTGGGAAAGTATTTAACAAGCAGTCTCGCGGCACCCAAGAAAGTGGCGTTCTTGGATGATGGCGAGTAAAGAGATTCGGGATGTTGTTTGTCATAGGGGTTTCACTTTGAAATCTGGACTGCATTGGAATATCTGGGTTCGGGACTCTGCTTCAAGAAAGACATGTAAGTCGTAGTCTAAGAGTCTGACTCTGAATCTGCAAATATCAAACAAGGATGACAACTGTAGTTTTGGTGTTTGGTGTTGTCGAGTTACACAAGGCCGTCTTCACTCCAGTGGACGGTCATGCAAGGGCCTTAGCTGCACCCCTTTGATGAAAGCCGGTTCTTGAGACTCCAACGAGCCCTTCTTTGGCGAACGGTGTTGTCAATAGAATAACGCATAAGTTCTAGTATCAGTCGGCGTAGTTGGCCATGATGAATGAAGCTCTCAGATATCTTGCTACGTCTCATCGGTTCCGGCCGCGGAGTCTTATGTGCCCGCGTCTGAAGTGATATTTCGGAAAATATTGGACATCTAACATGTAAGCTTTTCAATCATGTTTGGATCGCTTAACTTCTACTTCCCTATGTACTTGCATGGTGAGAGATGAGCTGAAGCAGCTATAGCTTTGCTGTGGCATTTTCTAGAGGCCTTGTCAAGTAAACCTTTGTGTGTAAGGATTTGCATGCCAAGAGGAAGATGCATAACAAGACTTCAGGCTCCTCAAAATATTTCACTCCAGCTTTTTGGCGATTGCCAGAGAGTATTTACGTTGATGCTCTAAAGATATCACATAGACTTGGGTATTCAGTGACGAATTGCCTACAACAGTTGTATACGAGGGGCATTGCTTATCTATGAATTGGTAATTGGGCCAATTGAATTTTTTTATTTTTAAAAAAATTCTCTTAATTAGGAGATGTTATCTCAAACATAGTTTAGGAGGAACTCGTGCGATTGACACAAGTAACTCAAAGATGAGCAGTTCTCAGATGTTGCTTCACTTGCACGGAAGGGCAGAGGAAGCCCACTTTTTGGGATCGACGTGTTTGAGTGTGGCCTGTGCGCCCAGCACTTGGAGGGGTGAGCTTCAGCCACGGTGGCTTGACTTTGCGACGACATCATCAGCTTTCCAGACACATGTCCAACAATCCCCGGTTCTACAAAACCCGACCGAAATCGAACTCCCCCCCGAAAGTATCGTGAGCCCAAGTGAAGGAACCCCAGATAAATACATTATGGCTCGATTATCATCGGCGTCACCATTTACCGCCGGCGGCGCAACCCCCGAGAAGGGCGCGGCCGAGCTCAACCAACTCCTGCGACGACTTGACCATGCGATCCTGCATGCCGATCAGAGCCGCGAGCGCAGGTTACGGGCTAGCGAATTTGAGCGAGCGAGATTGAACTCGGTATGGGATCTCCTGAAGAAAGGCCAATACAGCGCGGTGCTTTTATGCTCACCAGGAATCTTTCACAGAACCTCGAATATGCCCGCAGTCTTCTTACCAGAGTTGAGCAGGAGGCGCTGCACGTCAAGCTGCTCTCCCGGCGGCAGGATATGCAGGTCGATCTCAACCGTAAACGCGAACTTCTCGAGAGACTGGTGGACAGGATGCATGATCTCGAACAGGTGCGCTCTTTTTGATGGCCTGCAGACCGAGTGAGGGTGCGACGAGTTCCATGTTGTCGCTGCTGACACCTGCGCAACAGTTACACGAGGATGAGGATGACAACAGTTCAGATGGAGAGGACGTCCTGGCCGATATCATTCCTACACCGAGCGAGAGCATGGACTCGCGGTCAACAGATATACCCACAGATAACACCCCCGAAGACGACGACGATGAACCAGAAATACCGGAACTGCCTCCACCAGTAACGGCTGTCCCCAGAGAACCGTCAGAGGCGCCAACGGCACCAGCACGATCAGCAACAGAACCATCACCTGCGCCGCAGACACACACAACCCCCGAGGCGGGCACGACAACAACGCAGACCCTCCGCTCCCGCGGCCCAGCCCGCCCAGACTCGCCCTCAGCGACAACGACAGCCACAGCCCGCGCAGCCCTCTTCGCCTCCCGCCGCTCCAACACCACGAAGTCCTCGGCCTCCGGGCCCGCGTCGTCGACGGCGACGGCCGAGGCGATCCTGGACCACCAGCGCGCGGAGCAGGACGCGCTCTCCGAGTCGATCCTCAAGATGGCCAGCGCGCTCAAGGCCAGCTCGCAGAAGTTCTCGAGCACACTCGAGCAGGACAAGGGCGTGGTGTCGCGCGCGGCGGACGGGATGGATAAGACGGAGAGGTCGATGGACGCCGCGAGCCGGCGGATGGGCACGCTGCGGAAGATGACGGAGGGGAAAGGATGGTGGGGGAGGATGATTTTGTATGCTTGGGTGTACGGGCTCATGGTCGCCTTGATCCTCTTGGTGTTTGTGATGCCCAAGCTGAGGTTTTGAGGCATAAGGTGCGGTAGGTGTGAAAAGGCCTAGCACTTGTTTTTGCGAAGAATCAGAACGTTTTTGGCAACATGTATACAGGGGCGTTGGGATAACAAAGGGGGCTCCATCTCTGAATCGGTTACGAGGGGGCATGGCATAAGCGGCACTACCAAATGGAAAGATGATTCTTCTTCTTCTTCTTCTTTTTCTTCTTTTTCTCTTTTGATTCAACGATTTTGCTCATTCTAACCCATCATGTCTGCTGATATATATTAGACTGCCCCCATGCACTGGAACTCCTTCACAAACCAATCCAAGCCACATGCATCGCAAAAGCCAGCACACCGAGCCCCCGGACGATGCCGCTCTGTCCATTGCCCACCGATGCCGACTGTTCCAGGGCCATCGCAGGCGAAGGCGAGGGATCAGGGATCCCGAACGTTGACGTCTTGATCGGTCTGCTCGTCGGAGACGCCGAGGGTGTGGCGGTCGTTGGGGTAGCGCAGGGTTTCGCAGACGCGATCTGGGGCCTGGACGTAGCCGAAGGCGAAGACGCCGACGATGTTGATGATGACGGTGGTAGCGGGTCCGTGATGAAGGTCGGCCACGTATTCGACGCGAGCGTCTGGATGGATCTTGTCTTGAAGTCGGCGCCGAAGCAGGCTAGGCCCGTTCTCTGGCTTTCGCCTGAGCCGCGGAGGAGGGTGCCGCAGACGGGGCTTTCTGTGTTGCTTGAAGAGGGGAGGTTGTGTTAATGTGTAGAGATGGGACTGCATCGAAAGAGGAAAGGGGATGGTTTATTGGACGAAGATGAAGGAGAGGGGGTTTGAAGTGGTGAAATGGGGCCAGTTGGACATACCAGCAGAGCGTCCTCTCCCCATTCTGCGTCTTGCCGCTGCAGATTGGTTCGGCGGGGCCTAGACAGGTCGAGTAGAGGCTTCCGCAGAGCCACCTGCCCGTGTTGTGGCATGCGATTCTGGAGGTTCCTGTGCCGGCTGTGCAGGTGACTAATGCGAGTTCTGAGAACAGGTTGATAGGCTTTGCGTCAGTACTGGTTCCTTCTCTTAATCTCCTAATATGAACCCATCCCATGCCACCTCCTCTCCTCTCCCAGGAGAGAAGGCAGAATCTGGGGGAGAAAAGTCCAAGCAGGTAATTTCAAGATCATGATGGAGGAAACTGACCTCCCCCTGTTCTAAAGAACCCGCACGTCTCCTTTCCCATGCCCTCTGAGATGACTTGTCTCGTGGCCCGGACTCCAGATCGTTGTTGGTCCAGCGGGCCGCTGTTTGTCAATCTGTCGAGCGGGGGAGTTGCGCTCTCTGTCGGCATGACGATGGCGAGGGCGATGGGGTCCGCTGTCGTTAGACACAGAAGGGTGCTGGCGAAAGCGAGCAGAAGTGAGTGGCCTCTCATATCGAAGAACGAAAGGGGAGCAAGCAATGGAGAGGCTAAGAGACGTACGTGCCTTCAGGAACGGGCGGGCCATTGCGAAGAAGAGATGCGCAGAAGGGCATTTTGACTTTGGTCATATAAGTCAGTAGGTTCTTGGCATCTATGTTAGGACCGACTTGGGGTTTTTTGAGGTTCAAAGATGGCTAAAACTGGAATAGAAATGGTCGAAGTAGGAGCAAACATGTACGACGAAAGACACAAGCGAAGTGGGTTGCCCTTGCTTGTATTCAAACTGTGACCCAAAACGAAAGGGAATCGCGTCTCTTTGTTCACCTCATCGCTTCTTCTGCCCTTGTTCCACGTAAACACTTGGTTGAGGGTCTCAAGGGCGAAATGTATCTACTATGTTGCATGGTTCCGAGCCTCATGAATGGCTATCGAGGCCTTGAGCTACATTCACGGGCTCTTGAATTAGCAATAATCAGAATCAGGCGAGTACACGAGGTGTGCTCCAGCTGTCGGAAGTCATCATGCTACCGGTCTCAAAGAGCTTGCAATTAGTTCTTGACTCACTCAGCATGGCTAGACCTTGCACATCTGGGAGATATCTATAAGAACTTTCTCCATGGGATGTTTATAGCATTACATGCGTACAGCTGAACCCGACATCAATACCGGTGAGATGCGATGTAACATTTGGTAGACAATCGTTATTAAGTTCTGAACAGTGGCATATCTGCTCGCAGGACGAACACTCATATCAAAAGAAAAAAAATGATAACTCATTTCCATCAGACCCCTTGGTCCGCCAGGGCCTTTCGCGTAGAACCAGATGCTAGAGAAACATTGAAGATCGCCACATCGTCGAGCAGTTCAACTCAGCCCAACTCAGCCGGCTTCATCGCGCTTCCTATCGAATCGTTCGCCGGCGCCTGAAAAACGTCCCGATGCTGAGCAGACGAGGACGCGGGCGACGTGGGTGACATGGGCTGATAGTTCCACTGCTCTCCCTCTTTCTGGTTTATCGGAGACACACACGGCTGGTCGCCGGCGAGCTCGTGGCTGGGAGACGGCGAGACGTGACCACCGCCTCTCGACTCTCCCCGGACCGACGAAGCTCTTCTTCTTCTCACAACGAGCCATGTGGCGACGCAGCCGGCGATGGCGAGGATGGTCACGCTGCCGAGGACACCGCCGACAATGGCACCCGTCTGATTACCGCTGGATGGAGCAGCGCCACCGCCACCGCCGTTGGAAGGTTCCGGCGTCGGTGCGCTTGTCGAGGAGGCTGTCGAAAGCGTCGGGCTTGATGGCACGGATGGTGTTGACGTGTCGTCTGAGACTGTCGAGGAGGAGCCTGGCACGGACGTGATTCGCGTATCTGCTGAAGAAGAAGAAGAAGACGTGGTGGTGGCAGGAGCTGGAGGAAGCAAATTGGTCGATGCGGTATACAGGTAGACGAGGGGATCCCATGGCAAGCCTTTCTCGCGACATCCCCAGAGTGTTTTGTCTTGGTTGCCCTCTTTCCGGCGGAACTCCTGGCACTCCCCGTTGAAGCTGTTCGTTGACGTACTATGGATTTTCCAGACACCGTCAGTGTCGTCTTCCCCCGCCAGAGAAGAAGGGGTGAGGCAACATTTCAAGTTTCCTTGGGGAACGCGGGGACGTACCAGCACATTGTATCCCTTCCGCGAGTCTGAGATGGAAATGGAATGCACATGGAGTGACCGTGAGGCAAACAAGCGGTTGCTAGGGCCGCTCCACAGGCTAAATAATCATTCTGAATGGTGCAGCGGATGTCTTCATCGCAAGTGCGTGATCGTATCACTGAGGCAGCCGAGAGAGATGTTCATCAGCATACCGCAAATACCGGGATCCTCGAGTGGTGATTTTGTCTACCGGCTTCGAGATTGGTGTTTTGACGTGGAGATCAAAGAAAAGAAAATACTAACCCAGACCTGTCTCTTTAGAGAGTGTGAATAAGCCGCAGGTGTTTAGGCCTAGGGTCACTGCCGTGGTAGGGGCCCTCTGCTCAGATCTCTTTGCGATGGTATTTGAATCTATGAATACCGGCGTCAGCTGCGGCCGTGGCCATCGGTTTGCCCTTGGTAACGCGGGAATGCTGTCGTTGACTCCTAGCTGTGTCGACAGTTCTAGTAGATGAGGACGCCAGAACCCAAAGGTTTCCGCCGTCGGTATGCTGGCCGCAACGACGAGAAGCAGAACCGAGAGGGTCTGCATCGTCGGAAGTCTAACCAACAGAAATTTTAACCGAGTTAACGAGAAGGTGGTTTTGTTGAAGGCGACGTGATGATGTGGCAAGTGGGAAGAAATGAAGATGTGACGAGAAAGATGGGAAGTCGAGGCGGAGGCTGGCGAAAAGGGGTTGCCCTTGGTTTTATTCGCAGCTTTGGCCATGCGTCTTTGTTCCTCTCCCAGAGAGAACAGCGACCATGTGAGGCGGAACAGTTTGATGGAAGGGCTGTTTGTGGTATGTTCGATCGAGAGTTTGATCCGAGCTGTGCTAATTTCTCTTCTCTAAGAGGGAGGGTAGCACAAACACCTTCTCGTGGTGTTTGCCTTTATGTTTCTTCCTCATCTGCTGGAGCGCAAACATCCTCTCGACCAGTCACTCGGTCCTCACTTGATTTTGACACTACAAGGTCCGTTTGGTGCTGTGCGTTTTGAAAAGTTTGTGAAACCAGATCTTGAACCGCCTCCGCCTCCCCCTTCCCCCTTGCCAGTGAGAAATTTGATCGATCCCTTCCACTTACTTGAACTTTGGAGGTATTGCAAGCCGCCGAGTCTCTAAGTAGTGTAGTATTTATACGTGAATGCGACCTTATTTTGCGTTTCTTGGCGAAGCGATGGAATAAGTCTAACGCTGTATAACGTCCCGCGCCACATCATTCATCATTGTTGTTCCTCACAGCCATCCATTTTGTCAACACTCAGGAACTGACTGTGTCCGAACTCTCATGGGAGTAGACCAGGGCATTACCTCTTGCTACTTTCATGATGTTGACCATGGTGATTTCAGGTGTCCTGTCTCATCCTGTGTCCCACCCTTTGACCCGATTTCCTTAATAACTCATCCCAGAATACCGCTTCCTCATGAAAACCCATAACCCCGAGAGATGAAAAGATCTATTGAATTTGAATCGAAGGAAGGGAGATCCACGGAGCTACTCGCAGAGATCACAAGAAGACTCCTCAACTACAGGCTCAGACTTGGTTCGGTCGACAGGACTGGGATTCTTGGTGACGACAATCTGGTAAGTGTTGGCGCTGCCTTGACCGAAGATGATAGCCAGGTAAGCCAGGAAGAACTCGAATGTCTAAAAAGGTAGACTGGATGTCAGCACGTCATCCACCTTGAGACAAAAACATAGAGGACGGAGAGAAAGAGAGCTGTGCAAGGAAACTCACCCGGTAGATCTTGGGGCCATACATGGCCATCAGAGCCTCTCGATTTCGCACAAAGTTACCGTACCACTTCCGAACCGTCTCAGAGTAGTGGCGACCAACGTTTTTCACACTATTGGCTCTGAAGCCGGCGGTCTCGAGCTGGTTGATCAAGGATGCGAGCGAGGCATAAGGGACGGCGTCAGGGTAGACGTACTTGGCCATCAGGAGTCTCCATACGAGATCCTCCTACTGCCAGGGCTCATTACCGCCCGCGACCTCGAGGAAGAAGATGCCACCGTCGGCGAGCAGGCCGTGAATGTGCTTGAAAAAGTTTGAGTACTCGCCGGGGCCGTTGTGCAGAGCCATGAAGTTGTCGGGGCCTTTGTGCTCGGCTAGATACGTGCAGACGATTTTCTTGTAGCTGCCTTTGATGGGAGCGATGTTGGTGTACTCGGCGACGTGGTTGAGACCAGTGAATGGGACGTGAGGGAAGATACGACGGGCGTAGTTGGCGAACGCTTCCCACCCGTAGCCGATGCTGAGGACTCTGTCGTACGGATTGAGGTGGTTCTTTTCGCAGATGACGCCGAGTCTATTGTTCTCGAGTTCCTCGAGGAACTCTTGCTTGTTGGTGTCGCGGACGAGACCTGAAGTGTACACCATCCGGGGTCCCAGGAAGCCGCGGAGTATGCCTAGATCGAGTCTCTCGTGGGCTGGGTGGATATCTCCGTTCATCTTAACGTCTCCATCGAGGTGCATCTGGCAGAAGGTAGCCATCGGGATCTTTCTCTTGCCGCGGTACTTGACATTTGCTGGATGCTTGAAGGTCATGTAGTATTCGACAGAACGACCAGGGAGGACGGTCTTGCTGGTGCGAGGGCTGATGGCGGAGACAATGAGCCGGATTCCAGCGGTGACGGGGACTGCTATAAAAGCGGCCAGAACGAGGTCGATGACGATTCCTCCTCTGGTGCCGAAGGAGAGGTAGAGCACCTGAAGTACGATGACGTACCCCAGGGCCAAGCTTTGACTGAGGGAAGGCATCTTGGCTGTGGTGCGTTGGCTGGGAAGCAGGAAGTTCGAGAGATAGGAGAAGTGAGAAGCTATTTATAACAAATACCTCTCATCATTGCTTAAGCGCTCGCACGTATTCGTAGCATTATATAAGGCCATAAGTGGATCGTGACTGGTACTAGAGCGGAGATTGGGAATTCTTAACATCAAATAAAGTAGAACCAAAAGACAGCCCTTGTTCAGTCCTCAACCTTGACAAGGGAGGCTTTTCAGGATTCACTGTGGCAAGGATCTACTCGACATCGACGATACCCGGCTTTCAAGTGAAATCAAACGATACGCTCGCGTTCTTAAATATGCTGGCAAGGGTCAATGTTGCCCAACGTGGCACATGTCTTCCACACGATACGAGACCGTCACCAAAGAGGAAGCCGAAATGAACATGATCCTCTAGAATCAAGAAATAGAGTTCCTCAAGTGATCTCGACTGAAAGACCTAGTTCCATGGGGTCTCATCTCGATCTTAAGTTATAAAGCACCTCGTAGGTTCTCAAACGTAGTTGAAAGTCGGCTTTGGATAGATATTCCGTCGAAACGACAAACCTCCTTTGCGGGCTTTCAAGCATACCGTGCAACGCCAATCTGTATAAGGATGAAGGGCATTAGTTTGCCAGACTGTAAGCAAGAAGAAAGAAAAGCCAGCCGACTTGGTTAACAGGATGATGTGAAAGCATATGGCTTTGGAAAATTAGAAGTGTATCTAGCTCGGCGTAGTTTGTCCACGCAAGACACCGCCTTGGGTTCCTCCTTTTCTCTGACGCTCTTATACACACTTCACAATCCATCCTTCCCGGAACTAAGCGCAGTAGCTTTCAAGAGTGCCAAAAGCAGCATAATCATACAACAAAAGTCTCTTTATTGCATTTTGAAAATGGCTATGAGTCACCCAATTCCTTCTTCCACCGAAAATTTGTTTGGGTCGGCTCTCCAGGCAAACTTTGGTTGAGAAAGTACGTGTTGGGGGAAATTGGATGGATGTTGGAGGATTAAAGATGGTGTGGAGATGCAACCGCATGCGGGGAGCCGACAGAGGGGGAGCACGGACACTGCAAGGGAGCTTACCCCAACTTTGGGGGCTATTCATTCATTTAGCGACTCCAAAAGGTACAAAGAGGCAGTCTTGAGGAGTTGGGAATAGCTTCATTTGATATCCTGAACAACAAAAATCCCAAAAAGTTCTAGCCACAGTAGGTCAATCATCTCTCTATAGACCATCAATCAAAATAGCGCAATCCGCAAATCTGCACTAGATCTTGTTCCGCCAAACCATTTTACCCTATAACTCAGGAGGTATATCCAAGAACCACATGCTTACACAGCTTCAACCCTGCAGATACAAACGTCCCTCCCAGGGCCTCAAGACCGTCTTGCCGCTCTCGGAAGCAACTCTTTCCTTGACATCGTCGTAGTTTCCGACCCGGATCTTGGCGCCCTCGCTGGGGACCTCGACCGCCTGCTCCTCACCCGTGAAGTTCAACACCACGACGGCGCTCCGGCCCCCGCGCGACTTCTTATACACAAACGTCTCCTTGTTCTCCACATCAAACAGCTCAAACGCGCCGTGCGTCAGAAGCTCGCCCTCCTCCTTGCGCAACTTCAGCATCTCGCGCCAAAAGTTCAGCACCGAGCCCGGTTCCTTTTCCTGCTTGGCGACGTTGATGGACCGATACTCGTCGTGGACGCGCATCCACGCGCCGTTCTTGTTGTCCGTGAAGCCGGCGTACGGCTTGTCGTCCCACTGCATCGGGATGCGCGCGTTGTCGCGGCCGAGCAGGTTGATGCCGTCCATGACGTATTTCAGCATGTCACTGCCCTCGCCAAATTCCTTCTTGATGTCGTCGTAGTAGTTGAGCGCCTCAATGTCCTTGTAGTCCTCGATGCCCCAGCTGCGCGAGACGTTGGTCATGCCGATCTCCTGGCCCTGGTAGACGAATAGCGTGCCCGTCTGCGAGCACATCATGAGCGCCAGCATCTTGGCCGACGTCTCGCGCCACTCGGGCGAGTCACTGCCCCAGCGCGAGACGGACCTGCCCTGGTCGTGGTTCTCGCAAAAGGCCGTCGTCCAGCCGTCGGTACCCTCGATGAACTGCTGCCACTTCGCCACGATGCGCTTCAGCTCGGGCAAGGTCCACTTCTGGGCCTGGTACTTGTATCCGACGCCCTGACCGAGGTCGACAATGTCGAACTGGAAGACCATGTCGAGCTGGCGGTCGGCGGCGCTGATGAACTTGAGGACGTGTTTCGGGTCCGGGGTGTGGGGGAGCTCGCCGACGGTGACGGTGTCGTAGTGGTTGAGGACTTTTGCGTTCATCTCGCGCAGGAACTCGTGTATCCGCGGGCCGTTGCAGTAAATCATGTAGGCGGGCTGCTCGTAGGCGTTCTTGTTCATGATGGGGGCGTCGCGGAAGTCGACGCCCTTGCTGTACATGTTGACCGTGTCGATGCGGAAGCCGTCGACGCCCTTGTCGAGCCAGAAGCGCATGGCGTTCTCGTAGATGGCCTCGCGCGTCTCCTCGTTCTCCCAGTTGAGATCGGGCTGCTCCTTGGCGAAGAGGTGCAGGTAATACTCGCCCGTGGGCTCGTCCCACTCCCATGTGCTACCGCTGAAGTGGCTTCGCCAGTTGGTGGGAGGCAGACGGGTGCCGTCCTCGGCGTAACGAGGAGGTTTCCAGATGTACCAGTTCCGCTTGGGGTTCGTTTTTGAGGATCTCGACTCCTGAAAACACTTGTGCTGGTCCGAGGTGTGGTTGACGACGAGGTCAAGGATGAGCTTCATACCGCGCTTGTGGCATTCCTCAATGAGGACCTCCATGTCGCGGACGGTGCCGTAGGGGCGGTGGACGTCCTGGTAATCGGAAATGTCGTAGCCCATATCGACCTGAGGGCTGGCGTACATGGGCGAGACCCATACGATGTCAGTGCCCAGGTCCTTGAGGTAATCAACCTTGTCAATCATGCCCTGGACGTCGCCGAGGCCATCTCCGTTGCCGTCCTTGAAGCTGGCGGGGTAGATCTGGTAGATGACAGCATCCTTCCACCAGGCTCTGCTGGCGTTGTTCAGAGTGATCGAACCCATACCGAAAACCAGTCTGACAGGGCTGTTGAAAGTCAGTCTACCTAGAGAGGTTGCAATTGGGTGTGAAAGAAGGAGAGAAGGGGGGGGGGGGGGGAGAAGAAAGAAGGAAGTGGGACAGTAGATATGCTCAGTACAGAGTAGAGGAGCGCAGGGCAGACAGAGCAACACACCAGAACTAGCTTGCAAGCTCAAAAAGAGGATTGCGCGCCTGGAAGCTCCTCGCTCTGACTTATATACATACCTACATCCTCTCAACCCGGGCCACAGTCGACCTAAGCCCGGGGGCGCAACTGTCTTTCCCCGCCCCCTCTCTCGCTCTCTCTTTGGTCTCGCTCTGTCTCTCAAGTTGGATCCAAGTCAGACAAAACAAGGTGGTCGAAAGACACTGGCAATAACCGAGGCGGGACACGAAACGTCGTGCGTGTGTGGGCCACGGTGCGGAAGATCGTCCCTCTCGATGACAGGCCGGTGCATGCAAGCGCCGCATGCGGGTGGTGGCCCTTGGTCCTCCTTGGAGTCAGTCCCGAGTTTACTTGCTGCCCGCGCGGGGTGGACGGCCACCTAATCGTGCTAATTAACTGCGTTTGCTAAGGTGCGCGTTCGACGGCTCAATGGTGTGTGGGTGGTGGTCCGCGGAGAGTAATGGTGGTGGTGGTGGTGCGCGCTGGGCGGACCAATGACTTGGCCTGAAAGGAGCTCAATTCTCGCTGTAAAGTCTGGGAGAAATACCATTGGCTCCCCCCGCGCCGTGCGGATTGTTCTTGGAACCATGGTCCATGTGTGTGCCCCGCGGCGAAGTATCCGTTAGTTCTTGGGGTTTTCGAGGTGTGGTATGGTGTGGTGTGGTGCTGCGTGTGCCGTGTGTATGCGTGTGTGTGTGTGTCTGCAAATAATACAGGCGAAGAGAAAGAGCGAACTCCACGCCCCATCCCAGGGGCGCGGGTTGGGTTAGCGGGTAAGATAGGCGGACGGGAAAACTCTCGCTAGAATTGTAGATCGGGGCGCTGCCGACCCCTTCTTTATTTGGAGAGTTATTGGAGTATTGGAGAGTCTTGGACCTTCTTTTTTGTGA